GGGAGAAATGTATTTGTGGAGCGATTTTAAGAGGCTCACAAGGAAAATCAGGATGTAAGGTAACAGAATGGCATGTTCTGAGCGGTGCGGAACCGTAGCCGGGGGGGGGAGTGATCCCCCTGGTTTGTTGGGTAACGACCCACTGCGACAGGCTCGCCCATGCGACTGGCAGGTAGCAAATTTAACGACCAGTGCTGCCTGGAGATTTTTACAGGTGGTGCGGCTCTGCCGTGGAGGGATAATAGTAGAGGGTGAACCTTTACGACGTGCCTCAAAGGGGTAGTGGACCTGTAATGTTATTAAGTTCACGAGGCAGGTGAATATCAATACTTATGTTAGTTAAAACCGCGTCGAAAACTAGTGGCAGCAAAGTAAAATCTATTATGTCATGTAAATCAGCAATACCTGCAGAAATAGAAGCTCGCATTACAGAGGTGACGGCGATTGCCCAAAACACCCTCACTATCCTTTTAGAACTCACTACCCTTTTAGAACCCTTTTCTCCTCAAGATAGAATTTACACTGCTTCACGCGCGCTACTAAATTTAAATATTCTGGCATTGAAAATTAGGGGAATGAAGGCTTATAGGAAAGAACGTAAAATTAAATTAAATTGTTTATTTAAAATAAATATAAATCCCCACAATGTAAAGCCAATTCATTCATCCTGCTTTCCGGAACCTGAATCCTGGTTGATCCATCACTATTCAACAGTCTTCTCCATATGACCACTGGTGGGCCTTTAGAGAGAGAAGTTGTTGAATGGCTGGTTATATGGATTTTAGAAACAGCATTTCTTCACTGCAGAAAGGAACATTTTACGTGCGTCATGTCATGCAACGTATATTTCTAATAAAAGAGATGTGTACCACAAGGCACATTCGAAATACTTAACGTCTTAATTTACATAAATACGTAGCATAAAAAGCGTACTTACGATTCTAAACCAAACACAAACTGCTGATCCACTGGCTGCTTGCAAACAATATTCGCAGGCGGTGCACTGCATTCTTTATTATAACGGTGAGGATCTGTGATAATAATGAAGCTCATTACTACAGGAAAGCAATATAAAACAATAAAGAACTATCATAATTATAAAATATAACTTCCCTTCACAAAGCGAATAATATGTAATATTTAGAAACCTTTTACCTTCTTCTGAATTTGTTTTCACAAAATATTGTCTTTTATTTTAATTACCTTATATTCTAAATTATATATTTAAAATTAAAAAAAAAGTTGTTCCGGTGGACTAGAAACTTTCACTTGCCGATGTTGTTTTTGATTAGAAAAACAAACTTTTCTCTGCCTCATGGCAACCAGTGAACTTGACTTCGATTTGTTATGACGCAGCAAAACGTTGTCATGAATTGTAACATTAGATTCGATTCTAGTCTAAATTAGATAAGTTTAGTACTTTTAATAAATCCTTTGAAACTAGATGAGATTTGATCATAGATATCGCTGAACACTGCTTGCAGAAATTTAGATGGGCATTAGATACGTCATTAGATTCATAGTTAGATGCGTAGGCAGCGACATTCGTGATTCGAATAGTGTACATTAGTGCGTACATAAACAAAACTAATTTTTCAATCTATAGCCTACGTGTAAAGTGATATTTCGTTCCTATTCAAATAAGTAGAAACACATAGTAAATATCCAATTGCAATATAAGATGTAAAAACATAAAATGTATGAAAAAATAAGAAAGAAAAATTTAAAGATGAATGCTTAACATGACTGGAATTTAAAAGTTAAAATGTAAGTAAAATAAAATGTAAGCTATCTCATTACACAATAGGAAAAAATACAACGAAATTCATATTAAAAATAAGAACCACAAGCAGCGTTAAATGGAATAATTAGCGTAATTCGAACATCATCATGGACTTTTCAAGGGAAATGTATAATTTATAGCACATAAGATTCTATCTCTTATTTTGAGATAGAAATTTCTATCTCAAAATAAAAGTCAAATTCAGTCACGAATTTTATAAACCGAAGAGCATGTTCAGGATCAGTATTGAAAGAAAAATAAGTTTTGAAACCAATTTTCTCACGAACGCAATATTTTATTTTAGGCAGTAAAATATAAAATTATATTCTTTGAACGTTTTTGAACGGATGTTGGGTAAAAGGAACCGCGAACATGAAATCCGATGGTACAAATGAACCCAATAATGAATGTCATTTACAATTTAATTGAATGCTTTGCAAGGTATTTTTTAATTTTAGAACAGTTATTTTAATTTAGTTCACTTTCCCTATCTCTTATAGCTTCAGCTTACAATTCGTTACCAGAATGAGTTTTTAGAATCGCCGTAAATGCAAATGAGAAGCAGAAAGTATTTAAGTCAATGTTCCACTGACTTCTGCAGATAGAGTTAGGATTCTGAACAACGCGCGTTTGCCTTTTGGCTACGTCTCTCTAACTGTTACTACGCTTTGCCGTATTACGTGTCTTTTGATAGCTTCGCTGTCTAATTTAATATCATGGGCCAACTAGTTTAGAATTGTGTTAGCTTCGGCTATATCTCTTTAGTTAGTCATTAGTTAGTTATTATTTTTACATTTTGAGATTAGATCCAAATGGAGGCTTTGCTGTACGCCTTGAGAAAGGGCCAACTGCAAAGCTTTATTTGAAGCAAGTAAAAGGTGATTAACCCTTCTTGAGTTTACGTTCCTGTTCTTGGACTTAAGCGACATTCCACTTGGTTAAGCGAATACAAGTGAGGAAACTTACAGCTTCATAAACTGGAACAATTGCTTTTTTTTATTTTGATGATTTAATTTTAATGTAACATAACCTTTTCCTCCATATCAATAAAAGAACATGGCAATAACATACCGTGGGAATTATCTTAATCTGAAACAAAAATGTTGGCAACAGCAGCTATTTATTTAAAATGCTGACATTAACGAAACATTTTAGACATATGATGATGTCACGTGAATCGCGTGCTTTCTTCAACGTCAGAACATGACCCTATATATTAATAATAATGATATTTTATGCTATTTATGACAGAAAAAAATTTAAGAGAGCACCAAGCTAAAACTTTACGAGCAGCTTGCTTTTCTTCCGGGTAGGCTGCAACTGCAGATAACACAGGCTGCAATTAAATTTCTCTCATTGGCAACAACTAAGCAAAATATATTTCCATTTAAGTAATTTAATGCTTAATTCATACAGAAGGTCAAATGAGCTCATTTCTGTTCTGTAGTTACAATAATAGTGGTTGGTACTGTAGTTGCAATAGTAGTAGTTGGTTCTAGTGTAATTGTAAAGTACTCGTGCTTGGTTCTGGTGACATGCCAAAAATGCTCGACCTAGGTGTCCGGAGCTATGTGAACATATAAAACACGAAAAGAAAAATTGTGAGGGGGTGTTAGATTTTTTTTTCACTTGCGAAGAATTAGTGTCAAAGTTAAGGGTGTCCGCCGATAACATCGCGGCAAAAACATCGCGGACGAAAACGTCGCGGAGAAAACAACGCAAGGCGAAAACGTCGTGCTACAAAACATCGTGGGAAAACATCGCAAAAGAAAACATCGTTTAAAAACATCGTCGTCGAAAATAAAGCGGTTCAAAAACATCGCCGTCGAAAATATCGTGGAAAAAAAATAAAGTATCTACAATCATCGCATGACGATAACATCGCAGACATGCTTTCTTCAGGCTTTAATAACTGTAATGGATATTCCCATAATGATTTGTGAGCGCAAGATGATGAAGAAGGATAATTTTTACTTTCATTTTTTATTAAATATTAAAATTTTGTGAGAAAATAAGAAGGAACTTAAGCATAGAAAAATTAATGCAACTATACACTGAATAGAATTTTAAACGACAAAGTTAACTAACAAAGACCATTAATAAATCATTTTTTATAAAGTTTTACTGGTAATTTCATAAAAAGTTAATTTAATTTTTCTATGATTAAGTTTCCTTCTTATTTTTCAGCAAAAAGTTATTAGTTAAAAAAAAATGTGAAATAAAAAATATCGTTCCTTACATCCATTGCACTCACAAATCATTATGGGAATATCCATTTACAGTTATAAAGCCTGAAAAAAGCATGTCTGCTATGTATCGTCATGCGATGATTTGTAGATACTTTATTTTTTCCACGATATTTTCGACGTCGATGTTTTTAAACTGCGAAGTTTTTGAACCGCTTTATTTTCGACGACGATGTTTTGTACCACGATGTTTTAGAACTGCGATGTTTTCTCTTTGCAATGTTTTCTCCCACGATGTTTTGTAGCACGACGTTTTCGCCTTGCGTTGTTTTCTCCGCGACGTTTTCGTCCGCAATATTTTTGCCGCGATGTTTTCGGCTGTAACCAAAGATAAGCCATATCTTACATATCTTACCAGAGGGTCCTTCGGTCGTTGTTGTCATTGCTTCTGTAGTTGTAGTTGTTGGTTCTTCAGTTGTAGTCGTAGTTGTAGGCACAGCAGTTGTAGTCGTCGTTGTAGGCTCAGCGGTTGTTGTTGTCGTTGTTGGCTCAGCAGTTGTTGGAGTTGTTGTAGGCTCGGCAGTTGTAGTAGTTGTTGTTTCTGAAGTTGTAGTGGTAATCGGCTCTGTCGTTGTAGTAGTCGTTGGTTCTGTAGTTGTAGTAGTGGTAGTAGGAGGTTCCGTAGTGGTTGTAGTGGTAGGTTCTTCAGTTGTAGTAGTAGTAGTAGGCGGCTCTGTAGTGGTTGTCGTGGTAGGTTCTTCAGTTGTAGTAGTAGTAGTAGGCGGCACTGTAGTGGTTGTAGTGGTAGGTTCTTCAGTTGTTGTAGTAGTAGTAGTTGGTTCTGTAGTTGTAGTTGTCGCTTTTGTAGTAGTTGTTGTTGTTGTTGGCTCAGTAGTTGTAGTAGTAGTTGGTTTAAGCGTAGTTGTAGTTGGTGCTACAGTAGTTGAAGATTCTTGAGTAGTAGATGTAGCAGCCTCAGTAGTTGTCGTTACAACTGGTTTTGTTTCCTAAATGAATTTTTATGCATACAAAGCTATTTTTTCAAAGATTACAAGAAAGGCAATATTAATTTATATATATATATATATACTGTAATACAGTTAGGATCAAAGCAAGATATGAAGTATTAAAAATAAAAATGGAAAACATTAATGCTATAAACATCCTCTTACTTGCAGAAAAAAAGTTGTATGCAGATACTACTATCAGGTTCACTGTTCCGCCTTACTTGCTTGGGGAACATTCAAGAACCTGACTCGGAACAGGGAGCTTACTAAAGCTATGTTCAATAAATGTGGGAAGTAGACAAGATACACAGGAAGGGTATACGAAACCCTTTATTTTTCACTCTTTACAATAATTTCCGTACTTCGGAATACAGAGACCAACCACTTGTGGTCTGAACGTAAGAATATAAAAATATTAACTAAACTCTAACTTAACTTTGGAATAATAAACAAGGGCCTACGTGGAAGATTGGCCGTATATTAACAGGAAGCCGTATGTAGTACAGAGAACTGTTAACACTACAATACGTTTCAAATTATTAAGAGGATTAAACCTCTGGCCTGGAAAGCAACCAGCAACCGAGTAAAACTGCTAAGGCAAGCGGCCTGCTTCTACTAACTCCTTCCTCTCTTTTGCTTGGCAAAAAGCCACAACTTAAGTACTTGGCGTTCGCCAGACAAATTTGCATAAATAAGTTAAAGCTTTTAATTCTGGCCGGAAGTAGAAAATAAGAAATGATAGTAAAGATTTAAAATAAAATAAACGTTAGTAAAACTTAAGATCCTTACACTACCAGAAAAAAACACCGAAACAGAGCTGTCAATATGCAATGAGTACAAATTTAGATTTTTAACCGTAAAATACTTATTTGACGAGGAACTGAAAAACCGGGTTGGTTTTTGAAAGAATTTTCTAAAAACCTTAAAGATAATCCTATGCTACTTGAAAAAAAAATTTCAGTATTTACGACAAGATATGAATCCTGGTTCTTCAAATTTTTAATAGAGTATTATATAAAGAAGCTTGATCAAAATTTTATTAGTAGTGTGCAAAATTTAAGCAGGAAATTCATTTTTCAACACATTCATGAAATTGTCAAAAAAGGCCTTTTGCGATCAATACAATGAAATGCCAACTCAGTAGAAAGGTAATACATATGCAAAAATCAGTACAATGACGTCAGAGGGTACGTTAGGGAGAGCTAAAGGCGAGGAATCAGTACAAAGGCAACTTAAAAAGAAGAAAGGAAGGAGTACTTTCAGGCATTCTTCTGCAAGTGAAAGTAAGAATGTTCCTGCAGTATGGCTACAAGAAAACATTAGGATTCCTTTGCATATGATTAGAATGATTGACAAGCTTGAGCAAGCTTTAATGTCTGTCGCCCAAAATTTTGAAATAAAAATGTTGTTTCACAAGCTTAGACAACCTTCCAGACGACAGGTGCAGCTGTAAGAAAGATTGGTGGTAGTTAGCCGAGGAAAATAATGGTGACTGGTGACTGATATGTAGATCTGCAGGAGAAAAGAAAGTCAAAACAGACAATAGGCCCATTGCTCAGCAGTTGCGCACGTCCTGAATGCTGAATGCCATTGACTAGCCCATCGGTGGCACAGTTTACAGTGATGTAGAGAATACAAACACTAAGCACCTCATCGTGTCCTTCTTAACAATAGGAGTCGTTTTAGTCTGACAAACGATTCTCATTGCCATTTGAAATGAAGAGAGGTATGGTCTTGATTTCATCTCACTGACCTCAGGAAAAGGGATCGTTGGAGTAATGAAGCTATTCTTCCCCATGTGGGTCTTTCCTGGGTCCCTTTGATCCAGACTTTGCTATTACGGAATGCAAATCACTGCCACACAGGACTCATGCTGTTGAAAAACTCCTGCGGTGTGAAGATATCCATAGAATGGACTGGCCAGCGTAGTCCCCTGATTTAAATCCCATTGAATATGTGTGATATACTTTAGGAAGACGCCTGGTGTCATGATAGTACCCTTCGGACAACAGCAGACACGTGTTTAAGAATAGGAACTCTTACTCCCAGAACTGTTAGATAATCTGGTGTCGAATATTGACAGACGGTGCAGCGCAACCATTGCACTTAAGGGAGGTTTTGTCGCTTACTAAGGCTCTTCGGTTTGTTATTTTTCCTCTCCACCAGACAGTTTTTCGTCCTAACGCCATTCTGTCAAAAGCCTTTTTCTATTCGTTCCGTACTGTATGCGTCCTATCCATTTTTTTTGCTTTGTTACTATACATTTTCCCCATCGCTTATGTACTACATTCTGTCTCTTTAGTATGAATTATACATACTAAATTATACATGTATGTCCCCCAGTTGAAATTATGGCCAAAATCCGAAAAGCTGCTTAAGTTTTGGACACTCATGTAATTACATACCTGAAGTTAAATTTATTGACCCGTATAATATTCTAAAAGAAAAATCAATTTTTCACTTATTGATAAAAAATTGATTTTTCAGGTACTATTGAAAGCTGAAGCATGGCCACAAATATTAACGACCAAATGTTATAAAATTCACAAAGGTTTAACGATCTTTACAACTAAATTAGAGTGGTCGTTGATCGGTACGACTGGAAACAACGATTGCGTATCCTCAAAAACACTGATGGCTTTGCTTTGCACTAAAGACATTTCTAACTTGTGGGATTTAGAGTGTTCGGGAATTAAAGAATCCGGAACAAAACTTAAGGAAGACCGAGATCATGACGTTTGAAATTTCTTTGAAAATATAGTATAGAGAGATGGTGTAGAGAAATATACGTAAAGATTACCATGGATTAAAGATTGCCCTTTACTTGAGAATAATATAGAATACAGCGGATTCAAAATACTACATGTAAACTGAATCGTATAAATAAATATGCTGAATACAATTTTGATATTAAAGACTGGTTAGATAAAGGAACAGCTAAACTTTCCGAAAATGAAGACTCAAAATCTCCTCGTTTTCTTCCTCGACGAGCTGTTCTAAAAGAAAATACTAGTACTATCCCTTTAAGATACGTCTTTGATACCTCTACTATAGATAAGAAACGTAATTCACTGAACGAGTTTCTAGAGAAGAGTCCTAATTTAATAGAAGGTATACCCCTTATTTTTTTGAATTTCTGTTCTTACTTTATTCTTTTTATTTTGAGTTTCCTATTGGATTATCAGCAGATAGAGAAAGCTTTTCTTCATATCGGAATGATCCAGCTAACTGGGATGTATTAAGATTTCTATAGTTAAAAATTATCAAGAAACTAAATTCTATCATTGCAAAGTGCTATTTGAGGTTTCCCTTAATAGTTTCTTAGTAGTCAAATTACATAAATTAACACAGAATGCTCCTTTTCATCTTAAAAGAACAGCTGAAAAGCATTTTAAATGGTTTCATGTAGACAGTTGTTTGACTGAAGAACAGAATATAAATGAAATTGGTTCACTTATTTTTCTAGCAAAAGCGCTAAGGTCTTGAGCAGGATTTAAACTGAAAGGCTGGATCAGCAATGCAACATATGAAAATATAGAAAATGTTCTTGAACTTCGATGTTACTGTTCGTCTTATGAGCTGGGATGTAATGTACCAGTAACTGTTTAGAACCAATGAAAAGAGCAGCCTTATTAATTATGCAAAAGATTCTCCGTTTAATTTCACCACTAATTTTGATCCATGGATTGTTACTTCAGAAAAAACTAGTCGCTAATATTAGGATGGGACGAATCGCAGCCTAAAAGAATTCCAAAAGACATTTTCCAAATGGCTCCAACATCTTTTTTGCCTTGAGCATTGTGATCTTAATACGTCACATGACGTATTAAGACGTATTAATTAATTGACTCTAGTACGTGGCATGTGTTTTATGATGCCAGTCAAATTGCCTTCAATTTAACCTTCGAATCGCTTTCGCTTCACTTGTTGTTACTTGTAAGGACAAAAACTCAAAGTAAAGTTCATGTTGATTTCATTACAGTAAAATTGAAAGTTGCACCAAAGAAAGTACTAGCTCTTTCTCATCTTAGGCTTATAGCAGTAGTGATTAGAACTCGTCTGTGAGCTTTCATCAAGTGTGGACTGAGAGAACACATCTTAAATGCTTAGTTTTGGTTTGATTCAAGTGCAGCTTTATCGTGGATAGCTAATCAAGACCTATGGTAAGTGTTTATTGTAAACAGAGCAAAGGAAATCAGAAAACATACTAGAATCACATGCCTGGTCATAAACATCCAGCAGATTTGTTATCAAGAGACCGTCTTTCAAAGCATCTGCATCTTCCAATTCAGCTCCTGAAACATTAGAAACTGAAAAGGAAAGGCAAACAATTTTGTCTGCGTTAAGAACACTGTAACCGAATATATGCTACTTACGCAACAAGCAAGTTATACTAACACAGCAAGAAGAGTTTCTAGTTGTACTAAAACTGTAAGAATTATCGCTGGATTTCTTCAATTCACTAAAAGGAAATTTGATGGACCAGAGGCTCCATATTACCCGTTAAGAATTTTCTACAGCTGAAAAGGTAATTTTAAAAAAAGTCAGAAAGTTTTACTGAAGAGTAAACTAAGAATACACTTCAAACGCTTATAAAGGATACATAGATGATGATGGGATTCTTCGAATGAAATCATGGATAACTGATGCAGGTAACGATAAAGAATACAATTATCCAGTTGTCATGTTTTGAAAACCTCCTCTAATTGAATGGCTAACAGAATATAATCATCAGCATTATGAGCATGCTGAAACTCTTCTTGCGATACTCAGAGAAAAGGTGTGGATTTTAAGTGGAAGAAAAATTATAGCAGCTGTTGTCTAAAAATGTTTTTTTTTTTTTTTTTTTTTTTTTTTTTTTTTTTTTTTTTTTTTTTTTTTTTTGTAGAAGAAACAAAGCTAAGGCATTAAATATTCCCTCCCCCTTTTTTTTTTTTCTTTCGAAAATTTAAATGAAAATTTCTAACACTTTGTAAATGACCAGAGTTGATGTTGTAGGA